TTTCATAATGGGAGAATTTTAATTTATGTGTCAGTAGGTAAAATGTTCCACATTTCTATTCTCATTGGGCCAAATTGGAGTAACCACTGACAAAACCAAAATTTGAGAAAGGTGTGGCAAGCAGATGATTCTGTTAGGCATGACTGCAGAACAGGACTTCCTAGAGGACTGAGATCTGAGAGCCTGGCTTACATACAGGTGGCCTCTGAGGAGGATGCCCGGGAGAGGTTTTGGACTGTGAGACACAAAACCTCCTAGTGTCAGCTGCCTAAGCAAACGGGCGTTCATTCTGCTCCCAGAATCAGAAGTCCAGGAGGCAGGGAGTTGGTAGCTGTGGTCAGGGGCTGCATGATGGGAGGACTCTGGGCTGGCAGCTCTGCGGTTCTCTCCGCCTTCCTGACAAGGGAACAGGGAGCACAGCATCTCCCCCATCTCGTCCTCACAGTCCTGGCAGGCAGGAGGCTTGGCAGGTGCTCAGGCACCTCAGTTTCATCAGGAGAACATTTTCCCTCAGGAGCCCCCTCAGCAACTCCCTTTATATGTGGTCAGAACTCAGTCACTCACCTTCCTCCATCCACCCTCCTTGAAATCATACGATCACATCCTGACTCTTGAGCAGAATTGGGATTCTCTGTAGGAAAAAGGGAGAATGGTTTTTGGGTAGGAAAGAGCGCCATTTGCACAGCCTCTGACAGAACTCCCTCCACAAGTTCACTTTCCCCACCCTTGTTCATTCTCCACCAAATGCTCACAGAGATCTCCTGTGTAACGCCTGCAGCAGTTCCCCTTCGCCGAGCACTCTTCCCACTGCGCGAAGCCCTGTGGTGCCTTCTGCTTACACCTCCAGCCTTGGCCCCACCACCGTCCTCCCGCCTAGGCCCAGCCATGCCAGTTCTTGTCCTAACTCGCGTCAGACGAAAGAAGCAGAGGCTCTCTCTGCCAAAAATGTTTTTGCTTCTCTTTTTGCTTCCCTGACCCCCTTCCCCATTCTTCACTTGCCTGACCCTATCTTAAGCTTTAGGTCTCGGCTGTCATGTCACTGCTTTTGAGAGGCCTCCGGCTCTTAGGGGTCATTGTCTCCTGGCCTGAACAGCCATCATGTCTGCATCAGCTCAAATCACTCGTGTGAAGCCCCATCCCCGTCCCCTCAGAGGAGTCCAGAGTGTTGGTGAAGCTCTTTGGTATAGTTTAGGGGAACCTAAGGATCACTTCCCTGTAAATCATGGGCTGGATACTATTGGAAAAGTTGGGTAAGATTGAGTTGGTTAAACTGAAAATCTGAACATTTCAATTATCTTCAGGTGAGACATTTTCCCCCATTCTCCAGGACATTTGGCTGGCAGTGATATGTCAGCTCCTGGTGAGACAGCCTATGACTTCATGCTGAAAAGGAAGCATGTAAGAAACATGTAAACAGAGCCTGTTTTCCTGCTCCCACGCAAGTCAAGAGAGGCACGTTGAGGCAGCTTAGGGAAGGCCTGCAGCTCCTCACCGGGAAGCCTTCGAGGTGGGCAGTTGCCCCAGGAAATGCCCCAGCCCTCAGCCTGAAGTCTGCTCTGCAGCAGGAGCTAAAGCTTAAGGAGAATCAACTATACAACCAGAAAGCCCGTTACTCCTTTATTAGGTCAGCTGTGACAGCATGTGGCCCAGAATACATGGCAGTCACATGTTGGCATGACTGTTGTTTCACCTCTCTGGTAGGGCTCTGCTCTTGAACCCATGTGAAGAGGGATGGGAGCTCAGCCTGAGGGTTTGACGGTGCGAGATCCGATGTTTGAGTAGGGATGGGCTTGCCAGTAGGACCAGAATCACAGTCTGTGCGCCAGCTCCCTGGGCTTCCATATAGCTCATAAGAGGGAGGAGCTGCTTCCTCACGTGGACCCAATGTCACCTCTCCTCTTTGGGTTTCCCTGGCTGACCCCCTTTCCTTCTGAGGGCCTAGTTTTCTCTGTATACAGGTTAATACCTTTCATGAAGTCAGACCTGAATACCATTCTCTTTAACTTGTGGGACTTGTCTCTGAAGCCTAGCATTCATCCCTCCTGGGTGAGTACTGAGGGTCTCCTAGAGAGTTCCCAAAGTATGGCACAGTCTTCTGCCCTCCTGGAGATGTCCATAGCCATTTTTCTTTTTCCATAACAAAAGTGTACACTAGGCCAAAACTGGTTTGTCTCAGTGGATAGAGCGTCGGTCTGTGGACTGAAGGGTCCCAGGTTCGATTCCGGTCAAGGGCATGTACATTGGTTGTGTGTACATCCCCAGTGGGAGGTGTGCAGGAGGCAGCTAGTCGATGCTTCTCTCTCATCGATGTTTCTAACTCTCTATCCCTCTCTCTTCCTCTCTGTAAAAAATCAAATATATATATATATATATATATTTTCTTTTTTTTTTTAAGTGTACACTAAACTAGCAGACCCTCCTTGCACTGGCGTAGCAGCACTGCAAAACAAATAGGTCATGCCAGAATGAAACAGGGCTCTCCATCAGCAATATTTCTTCAGAACAATGCCAGGATTGAGCAGGAGTTTTGGAGTAGTTAACTTAGATGTAAAAACAAACACAAGAAAAATAACACACATTCTTACTCATAGTAAAGTTACTCAAGCAATCATTCCAAGATTATTTACTTTCATATTATAATTTTAACATTGTGACTTCTTCCATATATAAGGTATTTAATAAATACTTGTTGAATGAGTAAGTGAGTCAATGTCAGAAACTTGCAACAGAATTAGGAGAGAGGCTGCTTTAAATATATTCATATATTTTTAAAATGATGTTTATCATCATCCTATATAATAAAAGGCTAATATGCAAATCGACCTAACTGCAGAATGGCTGGTTGCTATGATGCATGCTGACCACCAGGGGTCAGATGCTCAACGAGGAGCTGCCCTCTCATGGTCAGTGCACTCTGACATGGGGAGCGCTACTAGCCAGAAGCCCTGAGCCAGGCTCATGGCTGGCGAGTGCAGCAGTGTTGGTGGGAGTCTCTCCTGCCCCTGTGGCAGCACTAAGGATGTCCAATTGCCAGCTTCCTTAGGGGGAGCAGACCTAAACCCCAAGGGCTTCCGGACTGTAAGAGAGCAGAGGCTGGGCTGCGGGGAACCGCCCCTTCTCCCGAGTGTATGAGTTTCGTGCGCTGGGCGTCTAGCATTTTACTAATAACAGCTAATATTTTAGTGCTTATATGCTAAACACTCTTATAACCTTTGGATTATTTAATTTCATCATAATTTTATGGTATAGATACTATCATCTTAATTTTAGTTCAGAAAATTCAGGCTGAGAATAAGTTATTAGACTAATTAACTGACAAAGCTTAGAAGTTGTTAGGTCTGACCCCAAACTCTTGCTCTTTTTTTTTACTACAATTTACATTCGTTATTCTACTAGGGGCCTGTTGCAGAAGATTCCTGCAAGGCTTCCGGCGGGCTTCCCTCCCGCCACCACCGCTTCTCGCGCCCACACCTCTCCCGCTGCGGTGGGCGGGGCGGGGATCATGCCTAAACTGGCAGTTGGACATCCCCTGAGGGGTCCCAGATTGGAGAGTGTGCAGACGGGCTGAGGGACACCCACCCTTGCACAAATTTTGTGCACTGGGCCACTAGTAATAAAATAATTAGAATATTCATACTGTGGGATGCTGTGCAGCAATGTATATCAGTATGAATATATCTCAAAAACAACTTATAAAAGCATAATAAGCATAGTATGATACATGGCAAAACACAATCCATTCTATCTAATAAAGAGGGAATATGCTAATTGACCCTTACACCATCGCAAAGATGGTGGCACACACAGCCAATAAGGAGAGAATATGCTAATTGACTGCCATGCCCTCACAGATGGGCAGGACCCAGTCCCCTCAGCCCCGCTGGGCCGGCAGGCACGCAGCAAGGCCGGGCCCACCTCACGCGCCTGCCTCCAGAGTCCCCCAGTCCCCCCAGCCTCCCAGGGCCCGTCCAAGGTGCAGGCAAACCTTGGATGACAGCTGCGCAGCCACTCAGGGCTGCCTGAGGTGTAGATACCAGAGCTGGCTGAGGCTTGCGCTGCCGGCAATGGCAGCAGCAGAGGTGTGATGGGGCATTGCCATCCCCTGATCGCTGGGTTGCCTCCCACCCCTGAGGGCTCCTGGACTGTGAGGCCAGGCTGAGGGACCCCCTCCAGTGAATGAATTTTCATGCACCGGGCCTCTAGTATAATATAATGCAGCACACTGCAAAAGCATAGTATAATATAACATCATCTGTGTGAAAATTTTATGTATAAAAACTATGGAAGGAATGACCACATACCAATTTTAGAATAATGCATATTGCTCACTAGGGTGGGAGAAAGTTGAGGTCTTAACAAATCTTATTAAAGTAAAAATATTTAATAAATGTTGGCAGAATTTTACCATTGGTAAGTCTTATGATTATCTCATCACTTCTGGTGCTTTTCTATATATTTTAAATGTTTAATGATTAAAAATTGGAAAGGTAAAATGAATTTCTGTGCTGTGCCACTTTTCTTTGTCTGATGCCTGCACATTTCTATGTTCTGTGCCTTCAGCTGATGTTCTCTGTGACATTAATGTTATATAACTCGAGAAATCACTGGAGCCACAAGTATTTGATGGTGAAAGAAATTTGGGGATGTCAGGATTTAGAGTGTTGTTCTTGTCTTACCAGCAGGTGGCGCTGCTCTGTAGCAGATATGAGGTAAGGCAGCCGCCCCCGCCTCCTGGTGTGAAGGGCTGCTTTAGACCAGATGCCTGAAAGGAGGACATTTAAGTATGTGCAGCCTTCTTTATGTTAGTAGGAAGGGGTACAGAATCCACGCATTTGTCCTTGTGTATATATCACATTTCTCTGAGTATTTATAGCCTTCGCTGTGTCTGTGCTGCCAGGTAGGGCATGCACTTCCTCTGCTGTTGTGTTGAGGAGTCTGATGCTAACGTGTGGAGAACTGTTTCCTGTTACATTGACCAGGGAACTTTCCTTTTATTTTAGGTGGAGAAGGATTATTCTTACTTGAAGGAGATATGTGATCATCAAGCGGAACAGCTGAGCAGAACCAGCCTCAAACTACAAGAGAAAGCATCAGAGAGTGATGCAGAGATTAAAGACATGAAGGAAACTATATTTGAATTGGAAGATCAGGTGGAACAGCATCGAGCTGTCAAGTTACATAATAACCAGCTCATCAGTGAGCTAGAAAGTAAGTGAAATCAAGCCCTGGTGAAAGGTCAGTCAGCAGTGGGTAGGATATAAAAGAAACCAGCAGCAGTGGGTAACTGGGGGATGGTATGCAAGAATGTTTATGAAAAGCCTTTTTTGTCAATGTTCTGTAGTCTCCTAAGAAGAATGCAGTTAAAAAGACAGAATAATTAACCTCTGAAACTACATTGAAAACTGGGTGATACAGAAGAAAAGATGGTTGTACGTGAGTCAACAGTGTGGGGTGTGAGGTATACTGTGTGTGAACGACACTGCTGAGCACACTCATCAGGCATAACAGTGTGTCCTCTTTTAGGATTGATGGCTGAAAAGATGGGTGACAGATGGTCAGGGTATCTGAACAGTGTGTGTCCTTGGTGCGGGAAAACAATGTCAACATGTGTCCTATTGATGGTAGGATATCAGATGACTTAAAAGGTGGCCATTTTGTTACTGAAGAGACACCAGAATATGGCTTATTTACAAAGTCATTGTTTGCTTTGAATAGGGAAAGACATGTTTAAAAGTGATCAGTTAAATATTGCCTGCTTTGTCCAGATTAAGCCTTATTAAATGATCTTTTAATGTGTTTTGCTTTTGTAGCAAAATAAGTAAGCAGAGATCTTTTAGTGATACTAACCATTGCTAAAAATAGCTTAGGTCAAACTGATCATTCATGGAATCCATATCTGTGAGTTCACCCACTTGCCAAAAGTTACTTGTAACTTCAAAATCAGAGTTCTCGACACCTCCACAGTCATTTGTGGACCTGCTCAGGGCAGTGGAAATTTGAGTCTCCCAAAGTGCACCCCAGCTCAGGTTGAACTCGGTGACACCTTCTCACTTTATTTCTCCCATGTAAACAAATCTTTTTCATGGTTTACTTAGTGCCATGATTTTTGCAGTTTTTGTTGGTGATTTCACTGTTTAAAATGAACCCAAGTATAGTCCCCAAATGCTGTGTAGTGTCCCAGGGCACAGAAAAGCTGTGATGTGCCTTATGGAGAAAACAGGTTTGTTAGACCAGCTTTGTTGAAACCCGATTCTAGTGCTCTTGGGTATGAATTCAGTCTTAGCAAATTAGCAGTGTTCATTGAATCATTCAGTGTTAACCAAAACTTAGAGGAAGTTCACCAATCTGTACATGAGATTGCTCCAGAAGGTGCTAAAAGTGTGTGCTATTTGATGAAGCTGTGGAAAAGTGGCCAAATTTGTAGCTTCATGTAGTGATAGCCAATTAAAAACCACACACAAAAAACGTAGAAGACTGCATTACTACTGTAAAGCAAAAAGCAGACAAATTGGAAATCACATTTTCCAGGATCAGGAAAGGGCTAAACTCTTCTCAGTGGATGGTGGCAGGCTTGCATGGCTCAAGGGCAACAGAGCGAGTGAGAAACGTTAAAAACTTGCAGGTGAGGCAGGTTCTGCAGATCAGGAAGCTATGGGAAATTTTTAAACATACCTGCTGACTGTTATGCAGGAAAAGGGTTATGTGGGCAAGCAGGTTCCAGCAATGATGGAAGGGGCTTTTTTAAAAAAAAAAAAAAAAAAAAAAAAAAAAAAAAAAACAAAGACACTGGCAAACAAGCTTATTGTATAAAACATACATAGTTCCCTTCTGGGCACAGGGCTAGAAAAAGCAGACCTTAGTGAACATCTTGGCCTTTTCCAAAAGCACCCAGCCCCAGCAGAGGGAGCCACAGGCTGTGGATTCCTAACAGCTACAAGCAGGGTACTCAGGGTCAGTCACAAACAGAGTCTGACATTGTTCTGCACTAGAGATTAGAAGCCATAGTAGATCTATTTAATACACAGACACAAACCCAAACAGGCAGCCCCCCCAAAAATAAGCTTGAAATGAAAGAACAAGAGAATTCTCCAGAAGAAGAGCTAAATTAAGCAGAGGTAAGAAATTTATCAGACATATCGTTCAGAATAATGATGACAAAAAGGCTCAATAGCATAAGAAAAAATATAGTAACTATGAAGAATGATATTGTACCAATAAGGAATACAGTGGAAGGAATACACAGCAATTTAGGAGAAGCCAAGGATTGGATCAGTTAATTAGAAGACATGATAGAAAAAAATCAATCAGAGACCCAGAAAGAAAAATCAATGAAAAAAATAGCAGGACAGCATAAGGGAGCAGTATAAAATATAACAATATTCACATAATAAGTGCGACAGTACAAAACATAACAATATTCACAAAATAAGTATACCAGGGGGGGAAGAAAGCAAACAAGGGAGAGAGAATGTGTTTGAAGAAGTAATGGCAGAAAACTTGCCTAACCTGGTGAAGGAAAAAGTCACACAAGTTTAGGAGGCACAGTAAATCCCAATGAAGAAGAACCCGAACAGGCTCATGCCAATACACATCATAATTAAAATGTCAAAAATTAAAGACAAAGAGAGAATATTAAAAAGGCAGCAAGAGAAAAGCAATTCTACCAAGGAGCTCCCATAGGCTGTCAGCTGATTTCTCATCTCAAACCCTACAGGCCAGAAGGGAATGGCATCGAGTACTCAAGGTAATGGAAAGCAAGGATCTAAAACCAAGATTACTATATCTAGCATGGCTGTCATTCAAAATAGACAGTCAAATAAAGAGCTTTTCAGACAAAAAAAAAAAAAAGGCTAAAGGGGTACATCACCACTGAGCCAAAGGGATTGTTCTAATGAGAAGGAGAAACAGAGAGAGAAACCTAGGCATACAGTGCCAGGGTGTTACCCTGCATCTATAAGCGTTCAGGAATCTGGAAAAGGGGCTGCATATAAATGAATGAAGAGGCTAGAGAAGAAATATGAATTTGGAAGGCATATTGGGGGAGCCAGAAGAAGCTTAGTTGGAGTGACTAAGTTCCTCGAATCTCCCCAAGCACCCAGGGCTTTTTATTCACACATCTTTCCCTCTAGCAAAACAGATATACATATCAAAGGTAAAGTTTGGTAAACAATAAAAAGATTATCAGGTTGGGGAACTGCCTTGGGCTGTTCCAGCAGCAGGCAATAATATATGCAGATTTTCAGAGCTGCTGAAGCTATCCATCAGCCTTCTGATAAACTTCTCTCACTTATTATGCTAACAACTAGAATTTGCTTCCAGCAATAGTGTTAAAATGACAATAAATAAATACCTATCAATAATAATGCTAAATGTAAATGGATTAAATGCTTCAATCAAAAGACATAGGGTAGCTGAATGGATTAGAAAACAAAACAAATGACCCAACTATATGCTGTCTACAAGAGACCCACCTCAGAACAAAAGACACACACAGGATGAGAGTGAAGTGATGAAAAAAAATTTCCATGCAAATAGAAAATAAAGCTGGAATAGCAATACTCATATTCAACAAAATAGACTTTAAAATGAAGGTCATCACAAGGACAACAAAGGTCACTACATAATACTAAAGGGATCAATCCAACAAGAGGATATACTCCTGGTAAATATATATGCACCCAATATAGGAGCACCTAATTTTATATATATATATAGATAGATAGATAGATATAGATATAGATATAGATATAGATATAGATATATAGATATATAGATATATAGATATAGATACAGATATAGATATATAAAACTTCTAGAGGACTTTAATGGAGAGATGGGCAACAACACAGTCATAGTAGGGAACTCTAACACCCCTCTGACTTCACTGGGTAGATCTTCCAGACAAAAACTTAACAAGGATACAGTGACTGTAAAGGACACACTGGATCAGATGGATTTAACTGAACATTTATAGAACATTTCACCACAAAGCAGCATTCTTCTCAGGTGCACATGGGTCATTCACAAATATAGTCTACATGTTAGGACTTAAAACAAGTCTCTGTAAGTTCAAGAAAATTGAACTGGCACAAGAATAGGCATATAGAACAATGGAACAGAAAAAGAGAACCCAGAAATTGACCCAAGCAAATTATAATGCTCAATTGTTTGACAAAGGAAGCAAGATAATATATATGGGAGTCAAGAGATGTTTTTGGGAAAACTGGACAGATACATGGGAAAAAATTTAACTAGACCACCAACTTACACCACAAACAAGAGAAAACCCAAAATGGATAAAAAACTGAAACGTAAGTTGTGAAATCATAAAAATCCCAGAAGAAATCATAGGCAGCAAAATCTTAAACATCTCTCTTAGCAATATGTTTACAGATACTTCTACCAAGGCAAAGGAAAATAGGAAGAAAATAAACAAAAGGGGACTACTGCATCAAAATAAAATGTTTCTGCACAGCAAAAAAAATAAAAAATAAAAATAGCAACAAAATGAAAAGAGAGCCACTGTATGAGAGAACATATCTGGCAATGAATGATACATCTGATGAGTTAATATCCAAAATATATAAAGAACTCATAAAACTTAACAAAAGTAAGACAATACAATTGAAAAATGGACAAAGGTACTAAATAGTCACATCTCCAAAGAGGACATACAGATGACCAATTTATGAAAAAAATGATCTGAGTCACAATCGTCCCAAGAGATTTAAATCAAAGCAACCATGAGGTACCATCTCACACCTGTCAGACTGGCTACCATCAATAAATCAACAAATGACTAGTGCTGGCGAGGATGTGGAGAAAAGGGAAACCCCTAGTACATTGCTGGTGGGAAGGCAGACTGGTGCAGCCACTGTGGAGAACAATACAGGGTTTCCTAAAAAAATTAAATATGAAATTGCCATTTGACTCAGTGATCCCACTTCTAGGAATATACCTAAGAGACCCAAAAAAAACAATCAGAAAGAATGTATGCACCCTATGTTCATAGCAGCACAATTTACAATAGCTGACATCTAGAAACAGCCAAGTGCCCTTCAGCAGACCAGTGAATAGAAAGCTGTTGTACATTATACCATGGAACACTATGCAGCCGTTAAACAAGAAAGATCTCTTACCCTTTGAGACAGCATGGAGGGACCTGGAGAGTATCATGCTGAGTGAAATAAGCCAGTCAGAAAAAGATAAGTGTCACATGATCTCACTTATATTTAGAATGTAATGAATAAAATAAACTGATGAACAAAATAGATCCAGAGACCTGGATGGATGAAACAGACTGGAATCTGAGAGGGAAGGCAGGGGAAGGTGGGTGGGTGGGAAGAGATCAATTAAAGATCTTATATGCATGCATGCATAACTCACAGGCCTGGGGTGGGCGATGGGAAGTGTGCTAGGGTGGGGGGTGGAGGTGTGCTATAAGAGTTCATTGGGGGAAAAGGGGGTCATATATCATACTTTCAACAATACAGATATAAGTAAGTAAATAAATAAATCACAAATAGCATTTTATTTCATGAAAATGTGACCAGAGCCTCACAGGACCTTAACCCTGTATTTCCTGTGAAGCAATAGTTTAATATTTTCTCATTGGGTTTGTGTGGCACCTCCATGTAATCAACAGATGATGAGAATTGAGTGTGTATCATTCTCCTTGATAAGGGGAGTGCCGGGGTCCAGTGTTTGGGGCCTGACATATGGGCTCAGTGTCTTCAGGCTGACCTCAGTAGTCATGCTTGAGCATGCAGCGGAAGGCCCAGCACCATGGCCAGTGACCAGTGGTCAGTGTGTACTTCAAACAGCATCATACTTGAGAAGTAGAAAGTCAAGAGAAGTCCAGTTTGGTTTGGTTTTTCACTTAGTGATACACTGCTGCTGAGAATTCTGTTGTGTTGTTCCAAATTCTTCAAAGTTGGCACAGGCATACCACGCAAGAAGCATGTTAACAATGTCCACACATGTCAGGCAGACTCCTGCACCTGTGTCATCACAGATGAAGCCGGGCAATAACACAGACCATGCGTCCTTTTAGATTCCGTCAGGGTTATTAAGGTATTATTAACATCTTTTCACTAGGAGGCCCAGGGACACACAAACCCAGCCAAGGATAATCCTCCTCATAAAATCCTTGAGAGAAATGGACAGAAAAGTGAACTCATTTCTATAAAATGTTCTCATTCTGCAGCACTGACCCAAACACAAATTCTTGGGCCTCACATGCTGAATTAGAGTTTTCAGGGGAGGACCTGAGCCTATGGGACTTTTTAAGCTTCTCTGATAAAACTGATTCATATTTTTAATAGACAACTGCTGCTCTTTAGTGGATCAGGAGGAAGCACTGAAGGATTGTAACCAGGTAGAGGACATGATCAGATTCAGAGTGAAATGACTCTGGCAGTAACGTGGGGGAATTGAAGACAGAGTGAGGAGCTAAAGATGGCCTGAGTGAGGGAGAGGTGGTCAGTCACGAAGGCTCTTGAAGCACACATACCGCCTTCCTCTGCCCTGGACCCACCTCAGTGGTCAGTCTGTGGCTAGGACATCTGTGCTTTTGAAAAGCTTCCCAAGTGACTCTGAGGTCTCACTGTGATTAAGAACTGCAGATCTAGAAACGGGCCTAAAGGCTCCGTGGTAATAACTAGTCCCATCTTCTGTCTGCCACCCAGAAGCCCCACAGCGGAAAAGGGCATTCAGGACGATGTGCACAAAACTCAGGGAGGCCAAGAGCGCGTGTCACAAGTGTGAGTAGCTGTGGCGGGCTCTTCCACAGTGCCGTGTTGTGTACAGCCTGTCATCTGGTGTAGCCTGACCAAAGCCCACGTGGTTCTCAGTTCACCGTGCTCTCTGAGAAGAACCTCCTGCTGGCTCCTGGCGTTCAGGTGCCAGAATGGGATTCTCAGGAGAGCGGGGGTTTTAACGCTGTTGCCGAATCCGGAGCTGCTCCTTTGCTGCCTTCCTTACCTTTCCCCAAGAGTCTCGAAGCTCTGCCAATTCCTGTCTGACCTGTTTGTTCCTAGGCAGTGTGATGAAGCTGGAGGAACAGAAAGCAGACCTGGAGAGGCAGCTGAAGACTCTGACCAAGCAGCTAAAGGTGAGATGCGGTGACAGCCGGGACGGGGAACTTCTGCAGCACTTCACCGGAATCACCCTCGGAGGTTGGAAACCTTTGAAAAAATACCCTGACTACTCTCTCCAGCCTGTTTTTTCGTAGCGCATTTCCATGGCATGGGCCCAGGTCCGTGTTGGCAGGAAGTAAAGGTAAAGCAGCCATTCAGTGTCAGGATGGAGAGCTCTGGCACCAGGCCTGACTCCCACCTGCGCGTTTTCCCTGTAGTGGGATGCCAGCGCCTCACTAAGACGGCCCAGCGGGTCTTTCTCAGTGTTGGGCATGGGGGACCGGAGCCCCCGCCAGGGTGCCAGCCCCAGCGGGCGTCTGACGTGTGCGTGTGCTCTGGCATTCTCAGGAGGAAACCGAGGAGTGGAGGCGCTTCCAGGCGGACCTGCAGACCGCGGTGGTGGTGGCCAATGACATCAAGTGTGAGGCCCAGCAGGAGCTGCGCACTGTGAAGAGGCGGCTGCTGGAGGAGGAGGAGAAGAACGCGAGGCTGCAAAAGGAGCTGGGGGACATGCAGGGCCATGGCAGGTTGGTCATGAGCGGGGCACCTGAGTCTGAGGGTCCCGAACAGTGCGTGGCTTCTCGCTAACCACCTTGCACGGCCGCCCGTGATGCTTTCTGTCTGTGCTGATGTTGTACCCTCTCTACCTCTCCTGCCATGCACACCAGGAACATTCCCTCCTGGACTGGTCACTGCCGTTCTCCGGTGTAGGGTGTTGAGAAAGCTCTAGCCAGTGTCTCCTGGGCTGAAAGACGGCCAGGACAGTCGTGCTCCTGAGGTCTTCGTGTCCGCCAGTGCCGGGCTGCGCTCACCGGCAGGCTGCAGCAGCACGGGCGCGCTCGGTGCGGGAAGTGTCGCCAGGTGCAGGCTTGTCCCTCCTGGCCCTGGGACATGCTTCTTTAGGGACAGCATCTGCATGCTGCCTCAGGAAGTCTCTGAAACAAGCCACTTTGTTAAAAAGAATGAGCGTGGAAAACACACATTTGGCTAATCTATGACTCTCTTCTGTTCTTGAGGGAGGGAAAGCACAGAGTATGGCCCCAGAAAACTTTCAGAGCAAAATTTCAGAGGGAGGTATTCCTAACATTAATTATAGTTTAAAATTTAAATGATTTACAAACAAGATTATAAATAATATTTCAGACTTTAATGCAGTGTTATATTTCCCCAATCAGGAATAAATGTCCTTAACTTTGAAATTATTGGATATTAAGAAAAGATTTTGAATTTTCAAATGTCTCCCAAATGTAGTATTTTTAAAAATATATTTTATTGATTCCAAAAAGGGAGAAGGGGAGAGAGAGAGAGAAAAACATCAATGATGAGAAAGGATCATTGATCACCTGCCTCCTGCACTCCCCATAATTGGGATCAAGCCCATAAACTAGGCATGTGCCCTGAACAGGAATCGAACCGTGACCTCCTGGTTCATAGGTGGATGTTCAACCCCTGAGGCATGCTGGCTGGGCTCAAATGTACTTTAAATGAAAGTTGGTTGGTATAAATGCTGATTTCACAGTTTGCCCTTTTCCTGTGTTTTCAGGATCAGGAGGTTGTTCATTGGCTAGATTTTTAGTCTGATATGTTATGAATTTTATGACATTGTAACAAACAGATTTTCTCAGCTTTCCGTTTTGATTCTCTTGCCAAACTTGCTTCAATCAATCCCTCATTATTTTGTTTGTGACTTTTCTATAAAATAGCCTCTAAGGCAGTGGTTCTCAACCTTTCTAATGCCTCAACCCTTTAATACAGTTCCTCATGTTGTAGTGACCTCCAACCATAAAATTATTTTTGTTGTTACTTCATAACTGTAATTTTGCTACTGTTATGAATCATAACGTAAATACCTGTGTTTTCCGATGGTCGCAACCCATAGGTTGAGAACTGATAGCAGAGTCGCCTAAGACCATCGGGAAACACAGATAAAACACATTACGATTCATAACAGTAGCAAAATTACAGTTATGAAGTAGCAACAAAAATAATTTTATGTTTGGGGGTCACCACAACATGAGGAGCTGTATTAAAAGTCGCAGCATTAGGAAGGTTGAGAACCACTGCTCTAAAAGAAGGATTAAGATAAGATGTGTAGCTGATTTCACTCTCTGGCCACCATAGCATGTGAATTTTTAGTTAAGGGAGAAGAAAAGGAAAACTAGATTTCATAAAGTTCCTTATTGAAACATTTTGAGATCACTCTAATTTTCTTTTGTGTTTCCTTTATGTGTCCATTTATTTTAGTTTATATTGTGTGTTTTTGGAAGAGGGACAAAATTATAATTTGCATTACTTTGTACATTACTTTAAAGATAAATGGTAAAAGACAAGTCTTGAGTTTGTGGTGTTGTATGAGATGCCACATTCCTTTTTTTAAAAACAAGCAATCAGGTATTTAATAAGAAATATGCTTATAGAAACAGAAGAATAAAAGCAAAGGTTAATGATCAGAATAAATTATAAACTAGTTTCTGAGTTTGTAAGATTGTCAGTCAAGAAAATTTTTTTATATAAATCAGAGTTTCTTTTGCTGGAATGAAAGCAAGCAGTGAAATCTGACAGATCCTTTTTATTTGCAGTTTAAGTATCTCTGGTGATGTCATCAGGTGCTCAGGTAAATTATAGGTGATCTGAGTTACGGCACCGTATGTTACCTGTGGTCTTGATGCCAAAATGGCACCAGTTGTTACTGACGATGTTGAAAGTGAAGGAGGTGGTAGAAGTGAGTCAGCTGGGCTGCATGGGCTCCAGAAACAGGGTCCCTCTGGGTCATCAGAAAATGTTACCAAGCAAGGACCTGACCTCGCTGGCCTGGAGTGTGTGAGTTCTTGACTTCGTGCAGAAAAGATTTCACAACATAAATTCAGGTGATTTTGAGAGGACATTTATGAAAGCTGGGGAACAAGGAAGGGCCTAGGATAGAGAAAACGAGAGGAAAGCAAGTATTTGGCTTTCTAGAAATGTTGCAGGAAAGAAGTGAGCCAACTCAGGGCTATGTCAGCCCACTGGAGAGTAAGAGGAAGGTTTAGGAGTTAGCCTGGGATGAGCTGCCACTGCCCGATTCTCCCCTGGTTACAAGACTCATGGAGTCCCTTAGAGCAGCGGTTGCCAACTGATGGTCCATGAGGTGCGAAAGGTTGGCAACCGCTACCTTAGAGTTTAGGAGATGTATGCCTGAGGGGAAAGAAGGGGGAGGGGAAGGGCAGGCATCCTCCTGGAGGGAGATCGAGCGGAGACGCTGGGTTTCTAACAAAGACTCTAAGATGCACTTCCAGTTGTACAGCTTGAACCCTGATATCACAGGCCATCTTGGCATGCATCTTGACAATTTAGTGTTCCATATGCTGCATCCTACATCTTCAAACTTAGGGTCACTTTTTTTTTTTTTTAACACAATATGTTTCTCTCTTGATTTTCCAGTGATTTGCAAACCTACCTCCAAAATTTAGCAGCTTAATGCCTTATTGCAAAACTTCAAACTTTAGAATCAACACCAATCCAGATCATGGCATATTACTGAAAGCCTGTAGGCCTCAGTGTGTTCTTGCCGATCACTGCATTGGGCAGGACTTCAGGCACCTGCCAGGGCTGGCTTCTTGTCTGATTCTGCGCCTCTCTTGCAAGCTACCCCTTCTTAAAAGAATTGACTGTTTGAAAGTTACTACTCTCTGATGGCTCAGCCACTTCCTGAATCTACCAGTTGATCAAGACTTGAAACCAACTCAGACCCTCAAAGGTCCTGAAGTGACATAGTGTTCCCTTCTTGACTGATGGGTTCTTGACTGAAAGGCAATTTGACTTTGACAGTCATCTAATGAGAACTCAAAAGTCATTTTTGGTTCAGACACAGCCAAAGAACTTGCAGAAAACTCTCTGATGAGGTCTTCCAAGTACGACCAAGAGAAGGTAAGAGCATCTGAAAGCACCTTGATCATAACACAGGTCTCACTGGTTTACATCCTCATTTGCATATACAGGCATTTGAGGGAAGATGGTTAGGCTAGTGGAAGGGCAAATTAAGTTCATATTTATTACCAAGAACTCAGTAACGAAGACAAAGTGGACTATTAAATAATTTTGTATTTTAGATAGTTTGAAAACTTAGCTCATTAGTGACCATCAGTCCTATTGGGTTTTAAGAGGTGATTTTTAGAGTCAGAATAACTGATGTTAAGGTGTATGGGAAAATGAGATTCGAGTCTCCTCTTTGCCACCAGCTGGCAAGATTTCCTTCCCAGACCCAGCTCCTTCCTCTCTTAAGTGAGGAGACAGCAGGTCGTTTTTAAGGCCCGGTAGGCTCTGCTGTTTCTTGAGAGTAATGGCCAGCTGAGAGTCAGATGCCCACAGCACTTCCTGCCCGCGCAGTCCGGGGACCCTCCTTGCCACGATGGCATTCCATAGACCAGCTGGGCTGTGGACTTCCTCTTTTTCTTCCAGAAATTGGAAAAGCCAGGATAGTTTTCATGAATCTGCAAGTGATATGCTTTGCTGGACATGTACAAATTAATGGATGAAAGATAATAAATAATGTTTCAACTCTGGCTTTCAATTTTGAACCATTAAGAGAAAGACACTGAAGTGAAAACTTTCCTTGAAATTAAAACATCAAACTTTTTTCCTGGAACGTTGAGTCCGGGGGCTGGCAGACCTTAGGGACTTGATGGCCACACGCAGTGTTTCTACAGGAAGTCCTTGTTGATGGGCAGCACGTGACACGGCCTCTCAGACAGCAGCAGGGCAAGGCCCAGGGGTCTCCTCAGCAAAGACCATTGGTTTTCGGGTGACTTCCTCGGTTCTCACTGTGTACCGTAAGACACCAATAAGCACCCATGCAAGACGTCTCAAAGATAATGAGACACACTAAACATCTGTGCCTGATTAACTGTGTCCGTTTCTAAAACAGCTTGTCTGCGATCCAAACTGTGTGTGTACCACTCAGCTCGTTCCACTTGCTCTCGTGTTGTCCCTCTCCATGAGCGGTGTGGCTGCACGTCACCGCCAGGCTTTCTGGGATTGGCTTTTCACTCTGCGTGTGCGCACCTGTGCTGTGCCCAATGTCAGCGTGTGCCTGTGCCGCCCTTTGTGTTGTCACAGCGGGGTGCGGCACAGGGCTCTGCGGTTGCCACTGAGAGGGAGCTATAGACTCCTGTCACTTAGTTATCTTTCCAGCTCTCTTGCTGCAGATGCTTCGATCAGCAGCCCTGCTCTGGGGAAAGGGGACCAGTTCCCAGGGAGAGTCCTGAACAGTTTCTGAGCAGGCCTCACATCAGTACTTCTGATTGCCAGGAGCCTCCACATTTTACTCGGTCAGTGTGGAAACGGGTCATCTGGTACTCCAACGAGCTTAATTCTTTCCCTCTAAGAATACTTATTTTTCATAGCTTAAATTTGTGTTTATGGCATTAGACGCAGAGCCAGTGATTCCAAACAGCTGTCTGCTCCCTGGTCCCCGTCTTTACAGATTTCCTTTGGAACGCATGGACAGGAGCTTCCCCTAGGCCTTTCGGATTTTTATGCTGAATAAAAA